GTCTTCAGAGTTAAAAAAAATAGTCAATTCTAAAGTTAGTCAACTATATAAATTAAAATTACTTTTTTGTACTTCTGAGTCAATGTATGTAAATATTGACTCCTATAAAGACAGAAATAATGACATAACTTTATTACAAGTGTTTTAAGCTAGAAAAATAATACCAGCTCCATCTGTAAGATTTATTCAAGTCTAAGAGTCCAGTATGGGAGGTGACCACAGAGAATAATAGGAATGGTGACAGTAATAAAGGGGAACAAAGTCTGTCCCAAACAAATTTAAATATTCATGAATATAGCCAAAATTTTTAAAGAGAGATCTTAAGAAGTGGAATTTAATGTGGCTAAACAACATAGTTTTAGAAAAATGTGACCAACCCTACAGTATTTATCTGTCTGGTGAAGGAGAAAGACCAGAGCCTAGGCTTTCAAGTGAAGAAGTGTCTAGTAAGAAAGACAGTGACAATCTATTATAAAATAGGCTCAAACAATCCCTTAATCTAGGTCTTTAATCTAGATGGAAAATGTCTAAATACTGCACCTGGACTTGCCAGCTATTTTTAGAATAGAGAGCCAAGGGAAACTGTTTTTATCTTGGGACTTGTATTGATCCTGATTTAGTGATTTGTACTCCAAAGCTCCCAGAAAGAGGTGACACTTAAGAGTGACAAGAGGTAACATAATTTTCTGGTCTTATCCATAGATTCTATTTACTACAGCTCTATGTCAAGGGTTAGGAATATAAAGAAGAGAAGCGGTTTCTTAGGAAGAGTAAGCCAATAGAATAGTTCCTAGATTCTTAAAACTTTTGACAGTTATATTGAAACACTTAGCAATTTGATCTCTCTAGAAAAACATGCTTAGACATTCTGGAAGATGAGAGGTCTAACTGTAGTTCAGTTATTCAATAATTCCTAAAAAGCCAGCTGAGAAGTCTATTTGATAAATTTCTTAAAAAGCCTAAGGGTTCTATGAAAACTGATGAGCTATTTTCTATTTGTATTACAAATGAAATAGAGAGGAAAAAATAACAGACAGTCTCCAAGCATGAAGAGATCAACATAATTTGTATCTCCAATTTTCTTCCACCTTCACTACCTTTTACCTGTTTGGCCTACTTCCACCATTCTTTTCCGTCTTAAACCAGTCTCCTCATGTAAACCACTGGAGTTAAATTCTTTTTTTTTTTTTTTTTTTTAATTTTTTATTGGATTTTAGGTTTTGGGGTACATGAGCAGAGCATGCAAGACAGTTGCGTAGGAACACATATGGCAGTGTGCTTTTCTTTCCTTCTCCCCTTCACCCACATTTGGCATTTCTCCCCAGGCTATCCCTCCCCACCTCCCCCTCCCACTGGCCCTCCCCTTTTCCCCCCAATAGACCCCAGTGTTTAGTACTCCCCTTTCTGTGTCCATGTGTTCTCATTTTTCATCACCTGCCTATGAGTGAGAATATGCGGTGTTTTGTTTTCTGTTCTTGTGTCAGTTTGCTGAGGATGACGTTCTCCAGATTCATCCATGTCCCTACAAACGACACAAACTCATCATTTCTGATTGCTGCATAATATTCCATGGTGTATATGTGCCACATTTTAAGGGCTCGGATTTTCCTCTTAACATTGCTTAGATGGTACCATCTTGCTTTGTGTCAATGCAGATGGAAACAAGGTTTGACTTTTACAAAAGAAACTTTCACTAACATTTAAAGAAAAAGTTAAAAGTACTTCTACATTGACCAAAGTTTTGACCAGAAGAAAGTGGTATAGCTTTTGAGATCTTTCCATTCTCTCTTCTCAGCAACAATCATTTCTTATGACCAGACGAAATTTTTCAGATTGCTACACTGAGGCAGACACGGACTGCTTTTTGAGGTTTTTAGGATTTGGGGGTTTTTTGTTTGTTTTGTAACAGAATGGCTTTGCCAGCTTCAGGGTCCAATGAGCTCCTGGTCTACATTTATCTCTAACTCATCCTACTTTATTTGAGTATCTAGATGAAGAAGGCACATTTCCATCTGAAAGAGATGTCTAACACAGCACTTACCATTGTCATTTGCCCTTTCTGAATATTGCTGAACTGTACAGTCATTGATGTGCCATATTTTCCTGGAGTTTGAATTTCTGTCTGGTCCAGTCTAAAGAATCTTCAGAGGCTAGTTATTTAGATTAATTTCTACCAGCTGTACTTTACTTTTCATGTAAGTTAACAACCCAGTTTAGCCTCGGAGTCAGTTTTTCGGTAGGTGGTCTCAGGCATGATGCCTGTTCTTATCCTACAATGGCGATAAGACCTCTGCCTTTATAAAACTGTTGCTGTCTTTCTGGTTGTCTGAGTCCTCCTTTAGCTCTCATCAACTTGATACTGATATCAAGGTTTTGCTCAATGAATATGCACACAGTTTGCTGCTTTTTCCTCAGCTCTAATAACATTAACGTAAAATACGTAACAATTTGACATCTAAATAATCATTTTAAATAATCTAAATGTCTTTAGATGTTTCATTTATTTGTCTTTGTTTTAAATATCATCTTTAAATGTCCTGAATGGTATTGCCTGGATTTACTTGCAATGGTTATCATAGTTTGGGGTTTTACATTTAAGTCTCTGGTACCTTACTGTATAGACCTTAATTCCTTGTCTTTCATCTAAATAATCTAAAATGTCTTTCATACACTCTACCTCTTGTTTCCTCTCACAATCTTGCCATCATCCTAAGCTTTGGCTTGGGCAAAAAATATCGTATTTTCTTGTTTGGTCAGGTTGCATTTGAAATGCCTGTTAGATCCCAGTAGAAATATCAAGCAGGAAAGTAAACATACTAGCTTGAAACTCACTGGATCGGTCAAAACTTGTGCGACGGATTGTACTTTTCAATGATGGCAGCAAAAATCTCTCCCATCCTCCACACTCTCTTCTATTGTGATCTCCATAATACTCCCATCCAGAGGTGGGTCTATTTCTCTTCTTAAATCTGGGTGGGCTTGTTACTTGCTTTAAATCAATAGCATAGGGTTGAAAGTGATGCATGTGACTTTTGAGGCTGGGTAAGAGGAGGCAATGCAATTTCTGTCATGTTCTTTGGAACACTCATACTTGATGCCCTGAGATACCATGTAAGAAGTGCCAGCACTCTGAGGCTGACAGGCTGTGAGGAAACCAACTTACACTCGTCAGTCTGGCTTAGAGTCCAAATATGTGACTGATCAAACTTTTAGATAATTCCAGTTCCTAGGCTGAGTCACCCACAGCATGCACACCTTCCCAAAGGGCTAAGCCATTTTCCCTGTGCCCTTTTCAAGATCCTGACCCACAGAATATGTGAGTATGATACATAGCTGTTACTTTATGCTGCTAAGTTTGCAGTGGCGTGTCACAAAAAAAAAAGGTAAGTGACTGTCTTTCATCACATCTTTCATTTCAGTGAAAGATGGCCAGTGTCTGCACTCTGGGTACAGACTGAGCAGAAGCAAATTAAGCAAAGTAGACTTAAAAGGAATAGTGATGGATCAGAAGGAGCACCAGGAGAGGGAGAATGTGGTGTTAATGAAAATCAGAGGAAGAGAGTTGAGCTTGGGAGGGAAACATTTATTAGTGATAAGAAGACTAAGAGTATGAGGGTTAATCTCCTCCCTTCAGGGATAGGTTTCAGGAAGGGAAGAGAAAAACAAATCACTGAAGTTGAGAGTTAAAATAAAGAAAACATTCAAGTACATTTTTAAATGAAATTTATAATGATTATGTCAACATCAGATCATTAACACCACGGTGTCCACCAGCTATAATTTCCCTAATTCATTTGCAATCCAAATGTTTCCCATTTGGGTTGCAATCCACATCTTTCCTATTCTGTCAAAATCTAGGTAAAATTGACTCAAAACGCCTTCCTTAAATTTTCTGGATTTTCAGAGGCTTTTGTTCTCTTAGCTGCCTCTGGCTGGCTGCTTTTTCATTGCTATCTCTGATTTGAATCAAATCTGCTCAGATGTGAAACATGGACTCTTCAATTTACACACTCATACAAATTTTAAAAAGTAGAAGGAAGGTAGAAGAGGAATTGAAATTATAATAATTCAAACAACTTTGAGTAGAACGGTAGACACTATCATTCTTATCAGGTTCTTTGCCCAACCCACAACCAGTGTCTTACAATGACCTTTACCCTACACAGCTTCATAGCATCTCTCTGGTTGATCTCTCTTCCCTTTCTGTCTTCCTTCCTCTTCACTCACTCTTGGAAAACTCAATCAATCCAAATTATTTCTTACTTCTACAGAGAAATTTTTTTTCAGAGGCTTGAGGAAACAAAAATCTCTCCCATAAGAGTTGTTGTGGTTATGAATAGATAGAAAAGAAGCTGTGTGCTCACTTTTGACTCACACTTTATGTTTTTTCCTAGGCTTTTAGTTGGTCTAAGTGTCCTCGTATGTTATCTTAGTCAGCTCAGGCTACTCTAACAAAATACCATAGACTGGGTGGCTTTATAAACAAAAGAGACTTATTTCTCAAATGTATTCAGTTCTGGAAGCGGAGAACTCCAAGATCAAGGCACTGGCAGATTCATGGCTATTAGGGACCCACTGACAGGTTCATAAAATAGCATGTGTCCTTACATGGCAGAAAAGGGAAGGGAGTCCTCTGTATTCCCTTTTGTTGGGGCCCTAATACTGTTCATGAGAGCTCCACCCTTATGAGCTGTTCTTCCAAAGGTCCCACCTGCAAATACTGTAGTTCTCTGGTTGACCTTGGACTGACACAGTTCTCCATCCTTTCTCAATTATACTTCTCAAAAGTAACTATAGAATGTGCTGGCAATGCCAGATCTTGAGATGAAGGGGAGCTAGCTGGGACAGCTCAGGTTCTGTTCTAGTCTCCCCTCCTCTAGAATAGAAAGGGATGTCCTTCAGTGCTTTAGCTCAGCATCTCATGTGAGATCACAGGATGAAACACAGGACTGGCTGCTTTTCACATTCCCTCTGCTAATGTGCAAGTGAGACATGCATAGTTGAGATTCCATCCACCCCAGCCAGCTTTCCTGAGCCTTGGGAAACTGGCTCACCATGAATCCTAGCTTCTGTTGTCTCTTGCTGCCTATCTGTAAGTAGCAAATCTGCTTCATGTAATTTGTTGTGTGTGAGTGTTCTGTCTCACCAGACTCAGATAAGTTGGTAACCAGTGCACAGTGAACCTGCTTTACAAATACCATCACATATCATCACACTGGGTGTTAGGATTTAACATATGAATTTTGGGGGGACCCAGACACTCAGTCTATAGCATATGTGTTCTGACATTTATGTATTTGAAAATATCTCTATGTTTGCTTTCATGCATAAGGATAACTTGACTGTGTTTTGAATTTTTAAGCACCATCATTTTGTTTACAACTCTGTGGTTGACACTCCTTTCTTTCTCTCATTTAGTGTCATAAAGAAGAATATTTGAAGCTCTACAAATATGTTGCTTTACATGACAAAAGGACTGTGCAGATATGAGTGCATTAAGGATCTTGAGATAGAAATATTATCCTGGATTATCTGGGTGGGCACAATGTAATCACGAGAGGCTTTCTAAGAAGGAAGAAGGAAGGTCTGAGACAGAAAAACAGGAAGAAGCTGTAACGTTGGCTTTGAAGATAAAAGATAGGGACACAGGTCAAGGAATGCAGGTAGTCTCTAGAAGCTCGAAAAGTCAAAGAAATGAATTCTCCCCTAGAGTCTGAAGAAGGAACACAGCTCTGCCAGCGTCTTGATTTTAGGATTTCTGACCTCCAAACTGTAAGAGAATTAATTTATATTGTATAAGACACTAAGCTTTTTGTAATTTGTTAATCGACTATAGTAAATTAATACATGCTATCTTTAAAAAAAATCCTCTTTAGTTGTTATTTACATTTATATGAGTCAAAATGTTTCTAGAAGGATTTTCTGTTTATTGCAGCTAAATAATTAAAAATAAATTATTTTTAATAGAAGGCAGGTTTGATTCTTTGAAGAAGGAATATAGTCTAAATTATAGGATCTTTTCTGAAATATAATGGTTTTCCCCAGTTTGGTCAGCCACAGAGAGCTATCCGTGCTTTCCTTGTCTTGTTTTGTGGCTAAAAAGAAATAGACTTGGTTTCTGTTAACCTGATATAATTTCCTACTAGCATATATATTGTCTAGATCAACTCTTTCCTTTGTTATAGAAATAAAATAACTCAAGCTCCCATGCAATGTGAGTATGGATGATCTAATCGCTTCCCAAATAATTTCTGAGAATCCTAGGTAGGTGCTTACAAATTTTAATAATGACTTGCCACCTCTCACTACGAATCATTCTCTACTTAATAGCTAGTCTTAAAATATAGATGATATCATATTATTTTATTATTTAAGGAAGAGTGGGCTACTTATTTTACTTAGGAAAAGGTCAAAAATATTTAATTCATACATTTCAGTATGGTCTGGTCTTTGCCTACCTTTCAGAATCATTTTCTGCTATCACCTCTCGCTGTTGTTGTTTTGGAGCCTTACCAAATTTCTTCTCACCTCAGGACCTTGGTGTATGTCCTTTTCTCTATGAAATGTTCTACCTTTCCCACTTTGCTACCAATTCCGCATCTGTCAGGTCTCAAGTGTTACTCCCTCACAGTGTTACTCCCATGATCCTGCCTGACTGCTAAAATCGGCTCCTCCTGTTATGGCTCCTAATAGAATCCTATAGTTTTTCTCAGTGATTAACAGCTGTTCTTTCTACAAGGCTCTAAGTTTTAAGAAGGCAGGGATGGTTTCTTTTATTACATTCTCTTCAATCAAGCTCCAAGAATATTTGAGTGAGTGAATGAATCTGGTTTGCTATTTCTGGCCATTCCATCTTACCCTCTGTTCCAGTCCATCAACTTACCTTGGCCTTAGAGCATGATCACCATCTCTCATCATTGTTCTTCACTCCTCAAGGCAGTGCTAAAGGAAGGCTTGCAGAGGTTTTTTTTTAAAAAAACTTCATTTATTCCTTCAAAATATTTATTGAACATCTGTATACTATGTACTATTCTAAATGCTTGGTGGTTCGCTCTTGGTGTGGGGACAAGGTTCAATGGTGCCAGGTCATTGCCCCATGAAGCCTTGCATGCATAGATATAGTCCAAATTTTTCAGTCAACATAAATGAGGCTGTGCTCCTGAAGACATGATGCCTGAGATTTATCTTTAGCCCTAATACCTCCAAATCTCAAGGTGTAGTGGTATTAATCAGTTAATATGCTCTCTACTATCTTATGGGTACATTGCTTTTCTAGAAGAGGATGCTTGACATGGGTACTCCATGCCTTCCTTCAGTATGATCCTATCTGTACTACTTTTAATAGAAATGTCCCCACAGTTTCCTGCATATTGTCAGTATTCATCTTTCCTTTCTGTTGCTACTGTGGAATTTTTTTCCTCCTTCCCCCTTAAAAACATTATATTGGATATTTCAATGGAAATAGGGGAGCAGGGAGATAAACATCTGCTCTTATCATTAAATTACCCAGAAGTTTTCAAAGATTTTTTTCATCAGTCTATGGTCTCCTTACTCTCTGTTTTGCCTATTATCTATTTATTAGTTTATTTTTGTTATGAGTAGGAATTGGATTCCAGGAAAGTATTATGTACATTAAAAACTCAAGAGTATCTATGTAGCATGAATTATTCTGTAACAGATTGTCCAGACAGCTTCAGAGGAAGATTTCATGACTCGAGCAACATTTGCATTTCATAGTTGATTGAGTAGCCTTGTGAAATGAATCAGCACTGTCATAAATACTTCACACTATTGACTCCCTCCAATATATTGACATTTGAATGTTCATTACCCTTATCCAATCAATTCAGCATTGCTAACTTTACTTCTAGGGAAGAAGGTTTTTGTAGCCTTTTTCTCCATTACTTGGAAGAAAAGGAGAGAGAAAGCTCCATGATGTATGAAAGGGCAGCAGAATTCTGTTTTATAAGTGAATTGAAGTGGCATCAGATGGGACCCAACCACATATGTGTGAAAATATGAAATAAGAAAATGTGGATAATATTTGGGTATAAAACTAGATTACTATGTAAAAAAAAAAAACACTGTCCTCAAAATGGAGTTGTTCTTCTGAACTATATAAATGGGGAATAATCTTAGAAGAAAGAATTTCCATGACTAGTTAGGGTTGTTATCCATTAAAAAGACTTCATAAGAGTGGCTTATAAGTATCCTCTTAAATATCCTAGAAAAAGAGTAATTTTTTTAACGTGTCTGAGACGACTAAATAAGCATGGTCTTTTCAGAACCGAGATTAACATAATATGTCATTAATTTTATCCAATTGCTTACTGAAGTGTTCCCAATTATATGACCTTTTTTTCTCACCTAATATATGTGGTAGATAGGAAGTAGAACAGAAACAGTATTATATATTCTTTTCCACCAGAAAAGGAAGTATTTTTGATAAAGTAATATCACTTTTGGCTTCCTATATTGCAAAAAAAGGAATATATATTTCTTTAAACTATAAAGTATCTACTTTCTATGTAGTACTAAATTATCTTCCCTTAGGACCTTTTTAAAAAAATGGATGTGATGAAGGGACAGTGGGCAAATCATTAGTTTCATTTTATGGAAATAACAAACATGAATTTTTCTTTGTTGTATTAAGTAAAAACTGTCAGAGGTCTAAAATAAAGCATTAATCTACTCTAACTCCTTGTATTCTGTATGCTGATGTAACCCAATGTAATCTGTATGGTGTATGCCTTCCACACCCTTTTCTATGTTCAAATTAATATATATTTGTATATACAGAAATAATATGTAAGACCAAGGAAAGTAAATATAGTTTAGAATTACAATTAAAAAAATATGGTATTGGCTAAAGAACAGACCTTTCTCATATATCACTCTATATTCTGTGTGGTTATCACACATGAGCAGTTAGTATTAGCCTCCTGCTCAAGTCTCCAGTGATTTTCTATTGTCTATAGTAGTGATGTCCAACATAACTCTATAATGATGGAAGTATTTTATAATCTATATCGTCCAACAGGGTAGCCACGAGCTGCATGTGGCTAATGTGCACTTGAAACATAACTCATGAAATTGTGGTACTGAATTTTTTATTTTGCTTAATTAATTAATTTTATTTATTTATTTATTTATTCATTCATTCATTTATTTAGGACAGAGTTGCACTCTGTTGGCCAGTGTGGAGTGTAGTGGTGCAGTCACTACTCACTGTGGTCTTAACCTCCCGGATTCAAGCCATCCTCCCACCTCAGACTCGTGAGTAGCTGAAACTTTATGCATGCACCACCACGCCCAGCTAATTTTTGTATTTTTGTAGAGATGGGGTCTCATCATGTTTCCCAACCTCATCTCCAACTCCTCAGCTCAGGCAATCCTCCTGCCTTAGCCTTCCAAAGTGCTGAGATTACAGGCATGAGTCACCTCTCCCGGTGTCTTGATTCATTTGCATGTAAATGGTCACAGGTATTTCGTGACTACTGTATTATGAAGCAAAGATCTATAATGTGAAGGCTAAACTCTTTATCACTCAAGGTCTTGTATAATTTTAGCTCAGACAAACTAAGCTCAAGAGCCACAGGTCCTAAAAATGAAATCTGAAAGAACTTAGATTATGTTTATTTTCTCTGGGAAAGAGGGAAGGTAGGGTGAGGGGCTCAGAGGTAGGATTTGACTCTTGTTCCATAAACAACTGCATGTGTACAATGGAAAGCTTAAAGTAAAAAGCTGTTTGCCAAAGACACAGAAACAAAATCCCCCATTTTTCGAATGAGTGTTTTAAAAGATGTGGGCCAATATCTTCCTACTCAAGAGTATTCCCAGGATTGAGAAAATTGAGGACGTACAATCATATCTAAGGAGATATTTACTATGCTAGGTCTTTGCCATCTTCTCATTTAAACCTTATAATACTCCTATAATATGTCTCCCTTTTTTTTGCCATTAAAGAAACTGTTTTCAGAAAATGATCAAAAAACTGAATAGAAAAATTGGTAAAGCTATGAACAAAAAACTAATTTTCCAAAGTACAAATGCCTAATAAGCAAGTGAGAAGTTTCTGAACCTTACTAGTAATCAGAGAAATAAAAATTAAAGCAACACAATAATTTGTCATCTCATTGAGAAAATATAAAATTCTGAAAAACAGGCAGTGTAGAAAGTATTCATTCAACAAACATAAATCTTATTGCTTGCTACATGCCAATATAAGAATTAGAATATGACACACCCAAAATATGCCACTTCCGTATACGGATAATTTTAAGGTGAAAGCAATTGAGGAGCAGCATTGATATGGTTTGGCTCTGTGTCCCCACCCAAATCTCACCTCAAATTGTAATCATCATGTGCTGAGGGAGAGGCCTGGTGGCAGGTGATTGGATCCTGGGGGTGGTTTTCCCTCATGCTGTTCTTATAGTAGTGAGTGACTTCTTCCTAAATCCAATGGTTTTATAAGTGGCAGTTTCCCCAGCTCTCTCTCTTTACTGCTGCCTTACGAAAAAGGTACTTGCTTCTCCTTTGCCTTCCACCATAATTATAAGTTTCTTGAGGCCTCCCCAGCCATGCTAAACGGTGAGTCAATTAAACAGCTTTCCTTTATAAACTACCCAGTCTCGGATATTTCTTAATAGCAGTGTGAAAAAGGACTAATATGAGCACACACAAGGAGAACTTTCTGGCCTCCTCCTTTCTGCCTGACAGTGTTGTATAAATTTCCCTTTGTAAAGGCAACATAGATTTCCACTTGTAAAAGTGTTTTCCACTACAGCACCATAAGGAGGAGAATTATTCTTATCTGCCTAACGAAATTGATTAAACGAGTCTTGTCTACCCTAGATTTCCTAGTCACTGTTCCACAGTTTACTGCCTCTAGGAGCCTTCATTTCTTTTGTCTAGTCACTTCTTCAAAATATATTTATACTTTTTTCCTGTTAATCTGCCTTTTGTCAATTTAATATGCAAGCCCCAACCACACAACCTTCAGCCAGTACTATAGGTGCTGATTAAATAAGACTGATTAAATCTCTGCTTTCTTGTTAATTCGGAACAAAATTTAAAATGCCTAATTATTCCTCTAAAGAAAAATGGTTAAATGATGATACAACTACACTATGGAATCTTAGAAAACATGTACAACTAGAATATGATAAAATATTTATATATTGATGTAGGTTGCAGAAGCCACAGTACTATTAGTTGTTAAAAATCAAGATGTGAAACAAGTAATTATCTGATTTACGTAAAAATAAAACAATTTTAAGAGCTATTATACAACCTGCATCATCCTGGCCAGTTTATACCCTCATTTTTAAAAGATCCTCAGCATAGGATCATATTCCAAGAAACAACTCTCCTGCAGCCAAAGATAACTGAAAGCAATGTGCATCCTTATTGCACTTCCTCAGAACATTGCCAAAAGGGGAAGTACATTTAACTCTTAAAAATGCTCTTTTTATTTCTCTTTCAGTCTCAGTTATCTCAGAGCAGCTGTTCTCCCCCAAAACTCTCATATTCCTCTCTCCTTATTCCCTAAAAATTTCTCCTACATCCGACAGGATTGAATTCTTGTCTTTTCTGTTTCTCTTCTAGCCTTCTTTATTATTTTTCTCCCTAGCATTTCTTTTTATTTCAATATGAATTCCGTGGCTTCCTGAGATCACACCTTGTCTTTCCCCAAATCTTTACCCCAATAAGCATATGAAAGTGACTAATTGTTTAAGGATAGGAGGATCATGACACATGACTGGAGAGGGGGAGAATTTTGTTATACTATTAATTTAAAAAAGCAGAATAAAAATGTTATATACATGCAATTTGAGTACAACTGTGGAAAGCATATAACCTAAAACCTTTTACATGATAAAAACTAAAATACTGAAAGAAAATGCACTAAAATGTTAACAGAGATTATTTTTAAATTGTTTTTCTATGGGAGATTTATTCCTCTATCATTACTTCTTGATATTTTCTTTAATATTTATTATAAGCATGCATTTTATGATTTAATTATAGTTTTTTTTGTTTTTGTGTTTTTTTTTGAGACAGTCTTGCTCTGTTGCTCAGACTGGAGTACAGTGTTGTGATCATAGCTCACTGCAGCCTCAATCTCCCAGGCTCCCAATCCTTCCACCTCAGCCTCCTGAGTAGCTGGGAAAACAGGTAGGCACTACCACACCTGGCTAATTTTTTTTACTTTTTATTAATAATTTTTGGTAGAGACAGTGTCTTGCTATGTTGCCGAGGTAAGGATATATTTGATAATAAATGGATTTAAATATTAGTATATCTTAAGAAATTTGATAATTGTGTATATCTCAGCTGGAATCTGTTTTTTTTTGCTCATTTCTAGATCCAGAGATATCTGAGTCTATTTGCCTGAAATAACAAGGAATCTTCAGTGAGTTAACTCAATATAACAGGTAAGAGAAGTCAGGAAGACTAGGTTTATTCAATAACTTTTCTGATATCTAAAGGACAATAAATCTGAATATAACATCTTTCACTTGTTGTGTACATTAGCTCCCAACTGCATGGTTAGGTCCTGAAATTGGCAGTGAGACTTAGAAGAAAACCTAAATGTATTAATAATATAATGTAAATACACTGTTTACATTAAAACATTGGTTACCTTAAACATTGGTTAGCCCCTACAGTGGAAGTAGTAAAGCAGTAAGAGAAATTGTGACCCAAACGGACAGGAGAAACCTTGCTTCTGTGTGGACCATAAGTTGATTTAAGTGTCTTAAGGGCTCCAGAAAACCCAGGTCCATTTTGATGCCTTGCAAGCTACAGAGTGTCAGGGATAGAGCAGTGTGGAAGAAGGCAGCTAGCAACATTAGCCAGGTACTTCCACCTAGTTTGTTAGGTAAACTATGGCTGAACAGTAGATATCAACCAAAGGGTTCAGAGAAAATGATGGAGCAGATATGAGATAGTCTTTGGGAATGGCCAAAAATATTTGGGGAATAGAAGGTTCTTTCAAGTCCCTTAGAGGATGTTATTGCAGTTGAATGAAAGGAGAGCCTAAAATCTGTTTCTTACCTCTCCTCCGAGTGTATCATCAACTCTATTCTTATTGAATATTCAGCTTCTGCTTAAAAATCATTCAGCCAGCTCCTCTTCCTCCTTATCCAGCTCATGTTTTTGGTTACTGCAGGCATGTTAATTGGGGGAAAAAAGGATGTAGAATGTAAATATAGTCTTATGATTAACCTTTTATGGTGCTTGTATTTGGGGGAATTGACAGGCTAAGAATCATACCACTTTTGGCTAGTCAATATTTGGTTTACTGCATACAATTATTTGAGAGAGAATTTGATATATATTTGTATTTAGATTGTTTGGCATCAGGGCTCTACAAATTGATATTCTTAAAAAAATTTTATTGAACCTTTTGACTATAAATGAAAAATGAAATTCTAAGCCCCTTAACTAACTGAATGGACTCCTCTTTTCAGCCAAGGGCATTCCAAAGTTAACTGGAAACACCAATTCAGATCATGATGGAAATGGGTGGTTAGGTATGCCTTATTATACCTTCCTCCTTTTAAATTCCCGTACAACTGACCAGCATTAATATTAAAGCACAGACCTTAAGACTGGCAAGACAGTCTCTTTGTAGCAATAAGATACCAACATGACAGATAGCAGGCCCTGAAGAAATTGAAGTATTTTACCCCCAAATATATTTCTTTGATATGTTTTGAAATGGCCCTGCAAACTTTCTCTTGTGGAGAAAATCTACATTCTGTAGAGAATCCCCTTCCCTTTCCAAGTCTTTTTCCTGATCCAGGAGAGAATTAACTAAGAATCTGGCATCTTTTTAAGTCTGATAAGAAACATTTACAGTCCATTCTCTCTGAAGCCTGCTACCTGGAGGCTCCATTAGTAAACTAATACCCTTGGTCTCCATAACCCCTTATCTTAACCCAGATATTCCTTTCTGTTGATTCCAGATCTTTAGATAAACTCAGAAACTCTTTGAATCCACCCATGACCTGGAACCTTCCACCCCTCTTTCAAGCTGTTGGGCCTTTCCAGACTGAACCAATGTATATTTTACAAGTATTGATTGATGTCTTCTGTCTCCCTAAAACATATAAAACCAAACTGTAGCCCAACCATCTTGAACACATGTTCTTAGAACCTCCTGAGGCTATATCCTGGGCATATCCTTAACCTTGGCAAAACAAAATTCCAAATTGATTGAGACTTAGATACTTTTGGTTTACATGACATACTGACATGACATTTTAAATTATTTTTAATATTCGAATCCTTCATTTATATAGAAAAATGAGAATTATGTAATTTGGACGATTAAGTTTTTACTTTGTAATGATCTTATATGTAAAGAATGCAGAGGACACAGAAATTTGGTCTGATTGTATATCTGATTACTTGGAATTCCATTTACCTGAATTCTACTATTTTCAAAATTTCTATGTCAGGAATTGCTTAGCTGTTTAGAGATTGTGAGTTTGAGTGCAAATGGCCCCTGACTTTATAAAACAAAAAACTAGCTCTTCTTTGGCAGGCAAAATGCTTCTACTGATGTGATCTCCTTATCTCACTTTAAATAACAAAAATTGGCTTTTTCTGAATGTTTTGTCTATGCACTTTAATTGATTTGAAATGATATTGGCCTTGCAAAGTATGCTCACTAAATGGTTGGGTATTTCTTTTTCTTTTTAACCAATGTAGGCATTTTACAGCACCTGGTTTTTTGAAAAGCAGAATCCATGCCATACCTACAAGTTGGCATACAGCCAAGAAAGTCCTTGTGTGTGTGTGTGTGTGTGTGTGTGTGTGTGTGTGTGTGTGTGGTGAATCATTCACAGCCTGTAAGATCTATCAAAATAGCTTTGTTTGAAAACCTTGTTTTCCCCGTATTTTTTTCTGATGACTCACACTTCAGTGCTTTCATGTCTAGATTCTCTTTTCTTTCTTGTTTCTCATCATGTTCATTCAGAAGATGTTCTTTCACTAGTTCCAAAATTTGTATTTCTATATTCTGTCAGTTTTCATCTTGAAACATACACACAGCAATATGCTCTGAATCATAAAATTCTGCATTAAATCCCAACACTTAAAGAAAACACATATTCTCAATATAGGTTTACCTGCTCTTCTGTTGCCATTTTTATTTAGTACAAATTTATTAATATTTAAAAATCACTGGCACTTAAGAAACTTGAATATTTTACTCTTAGGAAGATTTTGGCTGCAAGAAACATAAAAACCAATGCTAGGTGGTTTGAATGATAAGAATACTTAACACCTCATGGATGAATACGAAAATATGGTGGTTCAGGATTAGCTGAATTAGTAGTTCAATAATGGCTTCAAAGACTCAGGATCTTCCCATGTTTCTCTTTTGCCATTCTTTTAAATCTATTTTATTGAGGCATAATTTATATAAAATTCAATTTTAAGTGTATAAATAGAGGAATTTTGACAAATGTATGATAATATATCTACTACCACAATAAAGAGATTTAACATTTGCAACATTTCAGCTCTTTGCAGTCAAGCCCAGCTCTTCAATTTTGAATAAATGATTACATTGTATATATTCCGTTGTGTCTTTTTCTTTCACATAGAATCATGCTTTTGAGATTCATCCAGCTTGTTGACTGTACTGGTACTTTGCTCCTTTTTATTGCTGAGTGATAATCCATTATATGGTAGATAATTTGTTTCTTCATTTACCAGTTGATGATGGAAATTTATTTCCAGTTTTTGGCTATTACATATGAAACTGCTCTAAAGATTCCCCTACAAGTCTTTGTGTGGACACAGGTTTCAATTTATCTTGGGTAAATATGCAAATACTGGGTTGTATGTTAATTACATGTTTGACATTATAAAGACCTGCCAAACTGTTTTCCAAAGTGGCTATACCATCAACAGCAATATAAGAGAGTTCCAAGTTGTTCCAAATCCTTATTAACACTTTGTGACTTAATAGTATTTTTTGAAGAGCAAAAGGTTTTAATTTTGATGTGGTTAAATTGTCAATTTCTTCTTTTAAGGTTTCCAGCTTTTAAATTTTTTGTTCCTTATAAGTACACAGATTCAAAGATTTCAGATTTTCTGCTAGGTTTTCTCTAAAAAGTTTTAGATTTAGATCTTGTATTTACATTTAGCTGTATGATCAGTTTCAAGTTAATTTTTACATGAGGTATGAATTAGGGCTGAGGTTTTTGTCTTTCTTCTTTTTCTTTCTTTTTTTTTTTTTTGAGACAGAGTCTCTCTCTGTTGCCCAGGTTGGAGTGCAGTGGCGCAATCTCGGCTCACTGCAATCTCATCTCAATGCAATCTCCACCTCCTGGGTTCAAGTGGTTCTCCTGTCTCAGCCTCCCTAGAAGCTGGGACTACAGGTGTTTGCCACCACTCATGGCTAATTTCTTTTTTGTATTTTTAGTAGAGGCAGGGTTTCACTGTGTTAGCCAGGATGGTCTTGATCTCCTGACCTCGTGATCTGCCCACCTTGGCCTCCCGAAGCGCTGGGATTACAGGCATGAACCACTGCGCCCAGCCTCTTTCTTTTTTTGTATATGTGGATGTCTAGCTGTTCTAACATCATTTGTTGAGTATCCTACCATTCCTGGGGTTTTAGGTTTGTACTTTCTCTGACCTTCATGGTCACACAATGACTGCAGCCATTTTAAGCATCACATTACATATTATATCTTTCAAGAATGTGTTCAGGAAACTTTTTTCACCTCTTATTACCTAGGTTCAACACATGTTTATTTTGTACTGTCTAAACCAATCATTGAAATGGGAATGGAGTCACCATGATTCATTTATTCATTCAACAAGGAAATGGTTGTCTATATCTTTTCTAGGGGTTAGGGATACAGTAGTAATGAAAACAAGCAAAAATCTTGCCTGACCTCATGAAACATACAATTTACTGAAAAAACTGTCTTGTCAAAATAAATAATAAATTGTATAATATATTGCTGTATAGCAGTAAGTACTAGGGGGAAATACAGGGAAAGAGGCTATGAAATATTGTTGGGTGGGTTGAAATTTAAGATAGGATTGGTTCAGGAAAGTTATCACCTAATTGACTTTTAAATAAAGACCTAAAGAAAGTGATGGAGTAGGCCATACAAATACGAGGTTGAAGAGTGGTCCAGGTGGCAGGAAATGTGCAAAGTTCTTGAGAACAGCAGGCCACTGTAGTTGAAGAGAGTAATAGGAGATTGGGGAGTGGGGGTGCATAATAGGTAGATCACTGTTGTTTTTTACCAGTGGCAAGTTTGGCAAAATTTGTTAATGTTCGGGGACATTTTGGTTGTCATAACTTGTGTGGGAGGGAGTGCTGGGGAGACTAGGAATACTGCTAAATATCCTACAACGCACAGGATATTCAGCAGTATCCTCTCAATCCTCCTCCTTCTATAACCCCAACAAAGAATTATCCAGGCTGTCAGTAGTGCCCAGGTGGAGAAATGCTGTTTAAGGTCATAGAGAAGATTGGCTAGTAGTGAGTAAGTTGGAATGACACTGAATTATTTTAAGCTCAGGAAGTATTTAAGTTTTAAGGACCATGTGGCTATTTGTTTTGAAAAGACTAAAGGGGCAAGAGGGTATACAACATTTAGGAGGGTATTACAATTACCTAGGGAAAATATGGTTTGAGCCAGAATGCCAGTAAGGGTGCTAAGTGATTGATGCTGAGTGTATTTTGAAGGTTGAGCAAACAGGATTTACTAACACACGGGATACATATATACCTATAGGGAGAGAGAGGAACCACCTATAAGTAATCTGCTGTGGCTGGTACTGAAGTTGTGTCTTCCCAAAAGGGACCTGGGGAAGTGGTGGAAAGCTGAACAAATTTGGAAAGGAGGAAAGAGTACCCAATATGGATATTAGGATCGGTAACCAATTGCATCTGTTACATCTATATCTTACGGAAACAAGAATGAACACTGTTGGGCCAGTAAATGTCTGCAGGGCACAATTATTCTATAGACTAAGTTTTTAAAAAAATACTTTTTGTTTGTTTTTAGAAACGTCTTCTCATGCCATCTTTCATTTTGGTGATAGTTTGAAAGATGTAGGAGGTCCCAATTCCTTAATCTATCAAAGTCATTAAATGGCTCCAATTTTCCTTTCAGTATTTTCATCCCAACCAATTATTGGTGGTTCCTATGTAGAATGCTGACGTATTGTTTAATAACCTTTTTCTAAGCATTTGTTTGGTCTAGTGTAAAATATAAGCTTACTATGAGTCTTCCTGGCCCCCCTCCCCAACCCGCCACCCCAAGATGGAGTTTCACTCTTGTTGCCCAGGCTGGAGTGCAATGGCACAATCTCAGCTCACTGCAACCTCTGCCTCCCTGGTTCAAGTGCTTCTCCTGCCTCAGCCTCCTGAGTAGCTGGGATTACAGGCGTCCACCTCCACGCCTGGCTATTTTTGTGTATTTTTAGTAGAGACGAGGTTTCGCCACCTTGGCCAGGCTGGTCTCGAACTCCTGACCTTAGATGATCCACGAACCTCCGCCTCCCAAAGAGCTGGGGATTACAGGCGTGAGCCACCGCGCCTGGCCATTATGAATCTTTATATATTCGAAAAGTGCTTAATAAAGTCCTCACATCATAATCTTATAAACAACCTTATAATCTAATAACTAGGATTATTTCCATTTCAAAGACATATAACCTGAAGTTTGTAATTACGTTGTTAAAATTATGGAACGATTAATGGCAGAAATAGGTCCTGAACCAACATGCCTTTGAGAATTTAAAGGCGGGGAGTTACAGGTCCCGGTAAGTGGAATCTTCGCTAGTACCACTAGTTGCTCGGCGAGAGCTCGGTAAGGACTGGCCATTTGGAAGCTCGTAGTACTCAGGTCATGACACGGGAGACCTAACACTCCTACACAAATCCATGTCCTGGTTATTTCGTCCCAAACTGGTGTGGCTGCGGCACTTCGTCCAGACGCTGGCGGGCCAGGGTGGAGGTAATAACACAGCTCCCATTCCCCATGTAGCCGCGCCCTCTCCTTCCCCTGGGCGTCTCCAGGGCGTGGACAGGCCGCTGGAAGGAACCGGCTGCGGCCTGTGCGAGGCTCCGCAGGCCGCTGCAGTACGAGGCCGACACAGCTGGAGAGAAGTTACAAAGGCCCTACCGCGGGCCTGCTGGAGTGCTGGGCACGCCTACCCGCGGGATTGCAGGCCCGGGGGCCCCGCCTGGTGCTGAGCGGCAGGCAGGAGGTGGCGCACGCTACCCCGCGGCGGAGGACAGTGAAGCCCGGTCAGTTTCTTGGTCAGTGGTCCTAGGTGGGAGGCTGCACCCCCGCACTTCCGCACTTCAGCGCCCAGCTCTCCGCTTGTAGTGCCCTAGCCGCGGCCCCACTCGGGGAAGGGCTGCGGTCGGGGTGAGGCGCCTGGGCTCCAGGCCGCGTCCCAGCCCCCGGCCCTCAGCCCCGGCTCAGGCAGGGTCGCTGCTTCCTCGTTTCGTTCCTGGCTTTTTCTCCGCTTGGAGTGAGAACCAGGAGTCTCCAACTCCCGTTTGCCAAAAGCGGGATCCCAGGTGTTAGCGGAAAAGAGGGTGGGGTTTGTCTTTTTGCCGGTGCAGAGAGAACTTGGGGCGGGAAGTTAGTTCGCTGCGCGGTAGTGGGGGCCTGGGGATGGCGGGGGGTCTCTGGTGCGCCAAGGACTGACAGACGGGGCAGCTGAGCGGCGCTGCTCTCATTGATAGACGCAGGGTCAGGGGCCGCCGCGGGGATGGAGGTCAGCCCTGGCTTATGTTAACCTCTTGGTACCAGTTTGCCCGGAAGCTCGTGTTGAGGACTTCATCTTAGCCCCGGAAGGCACCCAGAAGCTGAAGGGACACCGTGACAGGGACTGGCCCTGAGAGGAGGCTGTCGCTTCCCCGAGCAGATGAACTTGGGACCCGCCCCCAGGATGTGAATTTCATAGGGTCTCCTTTCTCGCCTCAAGTCCTGATGCCACTGTCTTGCCCCAAAGTGTGTTTATCCTCTTGATTATTAAGAATTACTGCCTTAATCAGTAGTTTACACTTCGAAGACTTTAAGTTTTAAATCAGCAAATCTGTACTAGGCACCAGCATCTATAATGCACTGGTTAAGGAAAACCTCTACAAAAACTTTTCCTATTTTATAATACAATCAATGCTCTAGGCTCGGTTCACCATCCAAATTCCTAGCTTCCCTTGTGTGCTTATCAGGAGGAGGACAGGTGAATATTGTTAAAGATACAAGCAGCGACTCTACCCTGGACGTCGCTGCTTAGTAAAAAAGCAGGGCATTGGATTAAGTGAAGGAGGAAAAGCCTGTTAAAGGAAAAACAGACACTTTCTCTTACAGAAGGTAAGATTACATAAAGAAAACTTCACACTTACGTATATATGTTTATAGTTAACTTTCATATCAAAAGCCCTTAATAGTTTTTACAAATTCTTCAGAAATACTCAGAGGACCATGGTTACCTTTTCAGGCATATATGCTAGCGCATATATATATATATATATTTCCCCTAAGAAATGTTCTCTTTTAACTCAAAATCTCCCATTGAGAAATTTGATAACCCATGTACAATTAGTTGATTAAAGTTGCATGGCTATACTGTGGAGATTATGCTTTTGTTGGTGGTGGTACAGCCGTAATCTGCAAGGCAGTAATCTCTGGGTACCTTCCTAGGGCTAAGATGAAGTCCTCAATGCAAGTTTTATGTCAAATCTCTCATCACATTTCACTGTGATGAACTGAGAAGGAGAGAGTATGAAGACAAAATGCTGAGAATATTTTGGCAGCCTGGGAACTACACAATGGTCTAGTATTCTGCTAAATTATATATCCATAAAAATCCCTGGCTCATTTAACAAACGTTTACTGAATACCTCCTCGGTGTCATATGCTTTGCTTGGTGGTGGTGATGTCCATTGCCATTGTCTGTCTTCCCAATCCGATTCTGTGTTCTTTTCTAGGGCTGAAGATCCTCTCATTTTTAACACTTCACATTCTCAATGAAAGCAATAATTCCATGTATATGAAATGTATTTTCTTTTTTCATTGGAAATTGTTAATTTCTTGTTTCTTAAGGTTTATCCTGCACTGTTAATATGTGCTATAGACCTCCGAAATGAATTTTGGAAATGTATTAAATGACATTTGATTGTTTCTGTTTTTTTTTGTTTTTTTTTTAATATCAGTACCTCTTAGATCTCAGTATTGTAATGTATGTGAATTTCTAATTTGAATATAATGTGTGGACTTTTCCAAACTGAATTAACTTTAGAATCCTAATTTCTGGGAACCTGGGAAAGTTCCCATTGAAGACATTTTGGGAAATGTATTTTAACTCTATAAAGAGTTTTGTTTGTTTTTATTTTTACCCATTTATCTCACCCCTTCTGCCAACAGAAGTGATGCCACCAAGAAGAAATGAGAAATACAAACTTCCTATTCCACTTCCAGAAGGCAAGGTTCTGGACGATATGGAAGGCAATCAGTGGGTACTGGGCCAGAAGATTGGCTCTGGAGGATTTGGATTGATATATTTGGGTAAAGTAGAACCTTAAATTACCAATTATTCTTATATCTGTGACTGTAATTACTTGGTGATATTTTAAAAATGGAAATGTGGAATTCATATGTGTACTTTATTAAAATTTATGATTTTAAGTAAAAATATAGTACAGTGTCTAGTCTAGGTTCAAGGCATGACTGTCCCACTCCTTGTCCATGTTTTTCTAAATAACTCTTAGAAGTCTTTTAAGAGCATAATTATACAATCTGCCAGACAAAATTCTAATGTTTTTTTTTCTGAGAGCTTGTGAGAAACCACAACTGTACACATAAAAACATTTTCTGTTTCTGAATCTTAATCATTAATATTTAGGCAACACAAGGGTCTAGTCAATTCTTCACTGGGCTCTGCTGGAGAATTCATAGATAAAACTTAAGGCATCTATTCTGTGGAGTGAATTAATTTTTTTCTTGTGCATCTAGAGTGGTCCTAGAGATGTGCCATTCTTGGGATAATTGAGAAAATAAATACTTAATTATTTTCTGTGTTCTGTGGTATAGGTAAGGAACCATGGGTCAGGTAGGCTTTTACATTGTATTTAAGCATTTAAAAATTACACTGAACTTTAATGGATCATTGAAGGCTATCTTAAATCTGTTTGGAATGAGGAAGAGATATCCATTAAAAGATTGATGAATAAAATAAGGAAAATATTAGCAATTTTAAAAAATATGCTCTCAAGGATAAATTCTCCTAAATGTACTGACTGAGATCACATCTATTTCTATAGGAGTTTAAGGAGTTGATAAAATACTTCCTTGGAGGGAATCTTGGTTCTCATCAAATATTTCCAGACAAACATGCTTTATGAATCCTGAAAGATAAAGATCCTCTTCTGATAAAATTAAGATTGTAGTTTTGAATGAAGGAATGAAATTTGGTCAATAAGTAGCTGCTTATTAGTTACTTCACTGTCTAATCTGCTAGGAGAGACAAAATCAGCACAAAAAATTGAATGGGCCAAGTAAAGGACAGTTACCTCATTTAGAGGGTTTGAACTTGTTTGAAAACAATGCTATGATTATTAAGTGCTAGAGTGACATAGTGAGTGACATAGGCAACACTGTTCAATAGAAATGTAATACGAGTTGCATATGTACTTTAAAATTTTCTAGGAGCCACATTAAAACTCATTAAAGAAACAGGTGAAATTATTTTAATAATATAATCCAGCATATCAAAAATATTTCAATATGTTTTCAACATAAACGAATGAAATATTTTACTTATTTTAATGAAAGTCTTCAAAATCCAAGGTATATCTAGTCTCAAGAGCCCAGTTACCATATGTAGCTCGTGTGCTCAGTAACCACATGTGGCTGCTGTATAGAATAGTGCGAATAAAGGCTATGTGAGAATAAGTATTGTGAGAATAAGCGTTGTTTGAAACTTAGTGAATTCTCTTTTACAGCAAAGAGTTAAGATCTCTAGTAAATTGTCTTGACTCAAGGTCAGAGATATGGTGTTGAATAAATTATTTCTGACGTGGCTGAGCTATGGCCTTGGATTCCAGGGCTTACCACTTTTTGTTTTCTAATGTTTGTGTTATTTGAGTAATTTCAAAGAACTAGAGAAAAGCATTGATTGTGATAATCTTATTCCTTTTCTCTTTTTGAAATGTAAATATATGTTTTTAAATTCAAGTGAATGTTTAAGATTAAAGCCTATGTCTGTATACATGTATGTATCTATGTGTACACAGTCACTACTTGTTACTGTTATGATAAGGGAATATATTTGCATAGACATGTGACTTATTCCTATTCAAACACTGAAAAAACTGCTTCTTTCAATCTAAGTACAGTGTCACGTATTTTTACTTTCTATTTTTTTAAGATGGAGTCTTGCTCTATTTCCCAGGCCAGAGTGCAGTGGTTCCATCTCGGCCCTCTGCAACCTCCACCTCCCAGGTTCAAGCAATTCTCATGCCTCAGCTTCCAGGGTAGCTGGGACTATAGGTGCCTGCCACCACGCCTGGCTAATTTTTGTATTTTTAGTAGAAATGAGGTTTTGCCATATTAGCCAGGCTTGTCTCAAACTTCTGACCACAGGTGATCTGCTCGTGTCAGCCTCCCAAAGTGCTGGGGTTACAGACATGAGCCACCGTGCCCAGCCTACTTTTTTTTTAATTACCAAAATAATACTCTTTGTCTTACAATATATTTTGGGTTCAGTATGTAATGGAACATTCTCCATTATCTGAACTTTAGAACTTAGACCCTAGGAAGATTAGCAAGTACACAGCACTGGGGAAAGACTTTAAAGAAATATTTAGCTATTTTCAGAAAAAAGACTGATACTTCAGAATTTATAATAAAGATATATGGTCCAAATGTTGTAACTTTTCCATTAAAAGTGATACTAATGAATCAGAATCTGTTTAACTTCACTAAACTTAGTTTTTCCTATTTTCAAAGCTATATATACAAAACAGTATGAAATTACATCATGTTTTTACATTTTACCATGGTTCTCATCACTTCCCCTATATAAATGAAGAGAAGAAACAGTACAATTCCAATTTTCCTGAATACCTTTGTGTTCAGCAACATTGATTTCAGGTATTCTTTCCAGATACCCTGTTTGAGCAGACACTTGATCAGCATTTGCTGCCTAAGGCTGAGAAAAAGCTAGCCGCTCTGCCTAGCTCATTGTGCATGTAAACTGTCCTCTAGCTTTGAGATCAATAGCCAGGGCCTTTCGGTAATCAGCAGCTTACAGTTAAGGGGAAGGGGCAGAGAAGTTTGCTATTTACTCTTGACTTGGAGAAATAATGTGCCTGTAGCATTAATAAAATGTAAGAGTGAAAAGAAAAGTCTGAATACAAGAAGAAAGTCAAGGTTCTTTCTTTGTATATGAAAAGAGAAGGGGAGGAAAGAGGAAGAAGCGAAACTGGTGTAGGGGATTGGGAAAAATTGCAGTCATTTTAGTATTAAATAAGTAAAAAAGTGTTTTAAACTTCAGGAAGGAGAGACAAGTGAGGGTTAGAATTTAACTTTAATGCTAGGTATAACATAGAACCAAGTAAATTAAGGGAGAGTTGCATAAATAATAGCAGGGGTTTTGGCATTAGGCATATCTGACCTGAATCCTGACCTGATTGAGCCACTTATTCACCTAGTTACTTGATCCTTTGGGTTGTTTCTATTCTGCATTATTGCGATAATAGTAATTATAAGGAAAGTTAAATGAGATTTTTTTTAAGAAACTTGGTAAGCATTTAATAAATGTAACTTATTTACCTAGACTTTCCCATTCTTAATATTGGTGCCATACTGGGGCCAGGCACAGTGATTCATGCCTGTAATCCTAGCATTTTGGGAGGCCCAGGCAGGTGGATTTCCTGAGCTCAAGAGTTTGAGACAAGCCTGGGCAACATGGTGAAACCCCATCTCTACTAAAATACAAAAAAATTAGCTGGTTGTGGTAGCATGTGCCTGTAGTCCTAGCTACTTGGGAGGCTGAGGCACGAGAATTGCTAGAACCTGAGATGCAGCGGTTTAGTGAGCCAAGATCGTGCCACTGCACTCCAGCCTGTGTGACAGAGTGAGACTCTGTCTCAAAAAACAAAAAAATGCTGTCATAGTGGATTAAGATGGTGACAAAATTCACTCCATTGGAAGGGTGGATTTTCTATTTATTTTACTATGGATTTTGGTGGATTCAACTACTAGTGTGGTAAAACTGAGAACATAGAGAAAATGTCAGCAGAAGACTTTATGACATTTTACTTACTGATAAAAGCTCCCCCTAAAATTTGCTGTAGTAGCCAAAAGTTTTCATATAAGCTGTGTCTTATCTGCCTCAGATATGAAAGCTATTGGTTTTAGAAATTATTCAGAATTGAGAAGAACAGAATTACAGGATAAACTTTATGCACATTCTTTTGAAGGCTGATTGTATAAGTAAAAATAGATATGATTTATCTGTAGAAGTTTTAGTTTTTGAAGGTGAGCATGGTGATGACCATTTAGCATCTTTGGAGTGTCAAACACAGAATAGATGTTCCACAGTTTCTTGCCTGAGAAATTGAGACTGAGATTGGAGTACTTAACCCACACAAGCTGGTTTGCTTTGTTCTCTTTCATAATTATAGACATCACTCTTAACTTTAGTCTACCCCTAGAGATTAGTATTTTTAGTCACCAGGAAAGTTGAAACAAGGTAACGATCTTGACATCTAGAAGAATGTGCACATGCTTTATTGACAAGACATCAATAGCAATATCTTTTATGAAGAATAACACATTATTATAACTAAAATTAACTGTTATAAAGCCTGAAAATCAGATCATTTAGCCATGGACAGATGTTTAAATTTTATCCAAGTGACTTCCAGACATTTTTGGATCATGCTGTCAGATGAGCCTAATTTCATACTTTAGAAACATAGAAGGAATCTATTGTTGGGATAGATTTTTAGAAATTCTCAAAGTTTAACTCATTTATTTTACTGATAAGGAAACATTTACATTTAAAACAAGTATAATCTACATACACAGTTTTTTTTTTACTTCTTCATAAAATAAACCATATTTTACTTTCTCTATAAATAGTGAGCTGTAATAGATTGATTTTAAGGTATGCAGAATAAAGTTCAGAAGAGCCCAATGATAATGTAGCAACAAGGTAATGTATTGGAACACATATTACTTCATTACATATTACATTCTTACATGTTATTTTCGTAGTGTTTTGTAGAGAGAGCTTTGAGATAAATAGTCTTATTTGACACAATGCAGTATTATGTTGCCACTGCAATTGTTATTAGGCAGTTTTGGAAATGATACTGAGGGAGTAAAGAGAAGAATGTAATAAATGTGAAAATGAGGATAGTTTATACTAGAAACTATAGTGTTTATGATAAATTAGTTCCCAGGAGGTGTAGATAAGCGGTAATATAAACGCAAAACTAGAAGGGGATCACTTGGAATTTTATAAATTTAGTACACTTGTTGGACTTGCAGACAATAAA